ATTTTTGGTTTTTTCTTGTTTTGCCATTACGTCTTCACGTGAAGTCCTCAAATGGAAATTGAGATGTTACTCTCATCTATCGGAATAGAATGTTAACGACCGAGCTTTCAACGTGAATGAAGAAGGGTCTTCATCAGAAGATGTGATGGAGCAGATTATCAGCTGAATTGATATACATACGTCATCGCCAACATGACGGATCATCTCGTCCTGGTAGACAGATTGGCGTCCTCGAAACACTTATGGAATGCATGTAGTTGTTGATGAAAACGAATCCAAATAATCACTATCTTGTTTCTCTTTGATAAAATTATTTTTTATTGTAAAATGAGCGTACATGCATGTGAGGCTTTTACAATTTGTGTTATTATTTCGGGCATTCAGTTGATAGCCGTTCTGCTTTCATGATCAAATGGAAACCGCATGTACTTGATCAGAAATCACATTTCTTCAAAAATTCTTGATGATTAGGTTGCTTAAGAACATATACAACATATTTGGTATATACCTATGACAATGTTTCAACATAGTTGTTTTTGAACGGCCAAACATCATCAACAACGATTTCGCGTATGACCTTTAGCATAACCGTAAGTGTTCCAGCTTTCATCCCGAAAAAGGCGTGGCTGAAATAGTGCTTGACTCCCTCATATATGGAGAATGCGCTCCCTCAATCTTCATATTCTTGTCTGAAACGATGAAGATACACAAAAAACTGCGTACGTCGCTTCCTCCATTCAGATGCTTGTCCTTCCTCTTCGTATTCACTCAATTTCTTTTTTTTGTATATTTTCATTATATTACATACTCTCTGTATGCATTTAACATCTTCAATGCTCTCTAGTCAAATCTGGCTCCTCCCTTTCCGCGTCCTCCTATTGGTTAATTGGCTGGCCGGATAATGGTCCGCCTACAAACTGGCGGAACGTTGTTGAAGAAAAGATAGCTGGCCTTATATAAGCTGAAGACGGCCATAGGCTTCTCCCGTCTTATGAATCAACAGGCATCATATCTTTTCAATATGAAAGACACTTCGACATTTCAATCAGTTAGGCATATATGCTTCAACTGTTCCGTTATTTCAATCTCCGTGTTGCTTTGAATGATGATAAAGATATCTTATGTGTTGTGTTCTTATACGTCTCATACTTCCATACAAATTCATATGGCTAACCAGTTGTTTGTCTTTTTGTTTTACTGTTTCTCAAAATTGTAAAGCTTATACCATCATCGACATGCTTGTGTTCAACATCCATCCATTCTTAATCTCATAGGAATCCTTGTAGATTGCAGCAAAGCATTCTGCCTTCATTCTGTTTCTTCAACAACTTTTCTCTGTTTTATTTTGAATATTCCTATTCTTATACTTCTATTCACATCTTCAAATATATGAAATATTACTGTTCTTGCCTTATTTTGTATTTTTTAAGTCGTTCTCGAGATGGAATCCGAGCGGCGAGAGCGGGCATACCGCTTTGTCGCCTACTCGGCTGTCAGTTTTTCATTGGTAGCCATCGTAGCTGTATTCATAACTCTACCTATGGTTAACAATTACATTAACTCTGTCCATCTTCGAGTTCAAACCGAAATGGAATTCTGCAAGGTTTGTTCAACTTCCATTAATCACCTGTTCCACATTCCAATACACAGTTTCCTTCTCATCATCTTCCTCAGCATTTCATTACAGTTATTATCATTTTATATAGAAATACCTAGACTAAGAGAGATATAGCTCTGAAAAAAGAAAGAAGCCTATTGCGCAAGTAACATAAACAGGTTTTATAGTTTGGGCATAGGGACTGGAACGGTCTAGACACCTCTTTGCATCTTTCATTTTCTCATAAACATTGTCACATTTGAGATGAATGCATAATCTTCACTTATCACACATGCGAAAAAAATATTCTGACAAACGAGAGTTAGGTTCTTGACACTCCGGAGCGCGTTTGAATGCATAACGTTTCATTTTCAAGAAGAAAAAAATCTTTATAATAATCCGATCGTTTCGAAACTGGATATTCATCAACTACTTACGTGTGAGAAGGATGAAAGAGGGGTAGAAGAAGTGAGTGAGTTGGCAATTTCTTTTCATCGCTCTACATCTTTTATGTTTACGTTCCACCCTGTAGCCAGAAAAAGGGATGACTTAAATGAAATTGATGTTCGTACTTTCAGCTTTCGGCTCGGGACGTCATGATGGAGATGACTGAATTCCGATCTGTATCCAGATCAGCTGTTCCAAGCTTCTTGAAACAAAATAATAGCACTCAAAGACAAAAAAGACAGGCTGGAGGTTGCCAAGGTAATGAATAATGAAATGAACAAAGTTTAAAAGGAGGCGTAGTAATTAGCATAACTCCAATGTAGTCTCATCATTTTCGATTGATGTTCAGCGTCAAGCGGTTGCATCAACTAAATTCTAAACTCTTACACCGCTTATTCTCTTTTTTAAAGGATGCTGCCTACCAGGATTACCTGGACCAGACGGACCACCAGGAAAGAATGGAATACCAGGTAGACCAGGAGCTCCCGGAGCCCCAGGATTCCCAGGAAGACCACCAGCGTAAGTATAGAATGTAAACGAATTAAAACATTTTTCTTTCTCAGAGTCTGCGAAGAAGTTACAGCCCCACCATGCGTTCCATGCCCACCAGGAGAGCCCGGTCCATCCGGTCCAATGGGAGACTCAGGTTAATATTCCGGTCTTTCCTGAAGAAACTCAGGATGGGATAGTACTATATAACTCAATTCGCTTTTTAGGATCTCCTGGACAACCAGGACATCCAGGAAGAAACGGTAATGACGGACCACCAGGACCTCAAGGTACATCTAACTATCTCAACGTAAATAAATTTACTGTTTGTTTAGGACCACCAGGACCACCAGGTTCCGGAGGAGACTTAGGAAGACCAGGACCAAGAGGAGAACAAGGAAGACCAGCGTTCTCAACACCAGCTATCCCAGGAGATCCAGGAACTCCAGGAGAGCCAGGACCACCAGGATTACCAGGAGACCCAGGACAAGAAGGTTAGTCTGAATAAAAAACGACGATAACTAAGTTGGATTGTCTCTCCAGGACGATCTGGAGCTGATGGACAACCAGGACCACAAGGACCACCAGGACCACCAGGCACAATGGGACAACCTGGAGAAGTTGGACAATCAGGACAAGCCGGTCAACCAGGACCCCAAGGAGAAAGAGGTGAATAAAGCTCATTAATAGCTTTCTATATAATTATTTATAGGAATTTGCCCCAAGTATTGCGCTCTCGATGGAGGAATTTTCTTCGAAGATGGTACTCGTCGTTAAACATATTGCCATTTGTTTATGCAACGGTATTTGTGACGTTGACAAAGGGTTGGCTGTCTACGTCCCGCCCACACGATGGGTTGTATATGTGTCTTTTCTAATCAGCATATATCTTTCAAAATCAGACATTGATTTATATGTATAAATAAGTGTATCGTAGGTTCTGTCGGCTAGTACGATTATGGCATTGTTTTCTCTAAAACATATCAGAAAAAACTAACTTCATGTCTTTCGGCAAATATCCCTGCCTTATCGGGTAGATAGAACTCCTGGTTCAATTTCAATCTAAAACATTTGTTTATTTTTTGGTCTTTGCAATCGTAAGATTCTTAATCTGTCCGATATGACCAGCTTTGTGTTTACCTGTCCAACTTTGCACCAAGTGTAATAAAAGTATTTTTTATTCTCAGATGATATTATGATATTCAGATAGAAGTAACACAAAGAAAAGATCTTTGATGCTGTCACTGAAAATAATGATTCATTGTTTAATATAAACTTACATGCGTACACTTGAAAGCTTGAAAAATATTTTCGAATAATTAGTCCGACATAACAGTTGCAAAGCAACTCGGCATATCCTGGCGGAGAATGTCAAATAGCGCCTGATTTCCCTCTCCAGCCATTTTCTTTTTCACATTCTTCTATTAACTAATCTGTTCTGCAACATGAGTAAAAACATCTACAAACAATCATGAATTCACCTTTTATACATCCTGGTGATAATGCCATGATGTCGAAATATCTTTCAGTTTTTTGTATGTGTGTAAAGTCACGTGCATGATGAGCGATGACGAGCAGATGAGAAAAAAAATATCATCCGCTCTGCAGAACCGACAAATCCTTTTGATGTTTCAATTTCCTCATTGCGTTTTCATTCATTTGCTCTGCAAGTTGTTATAACTTCTGCTCGACATATGAACTCCGTTCATTCAATGGACAGCTCTTAATCTGAAATGTCGTTTAATTAAATATTTAATGTTTTTATTATTAATTTTCATGTTTATTAATCGTCTTAAAAATGACTACTCGTCGTGTTTTCCTAATAATGACAAAAACAAGAGAAAACAAACTTAAAATCTGATAATTTGATGAAATTAATCAATTATTTCGCATTGTATGCAATTCAGATTAAAGACTCAAGCTTTTGATCTAACATGGAGCTTAAACAACTGTTCAAAATTTAAAGCGAATTTTTCGCGCGCGTTCACGTGAACTTGTGACGTCTAATGTTATTTCCACGTCGTGCAAAGCTCATGAACGGTTGGTCATATCGCTTTTTTTCTTGGCAGGCTTAAAAATGAAAAATGTTTTTGAAAGTCTCGTAAGTTTCCTCTTCTGAAGTTCTAATAATTCTTTTGATTTCGTGCTGTTTCAAGCTCTCCGTTTTTCTCTTCCATCGTATAACCATTATGTTCGTCAATTATTTCTTTTTTTCTTTCAATGGCAGCATGAAAGCAGTTTTCGCTTCCACATATCTAAAAATATTCCTAACTCGCTCTTATACCGAGAGCAAAATGGAAAATTTTGCAAATGGCTGGGAGCAAAACGCTCACTCAATTACCGATATCACGGAAATGGTGTCATTAGTAATTTGAATTCACTCTGGGTGATGTGAATAGTGTGGACTTTGCTTTTTTGTTTTCTCGCCATACTCTATCAGCTACTTGTTTAAATAACCTGATCATTTGAACATGGATGGGTAATGTTTTCTCAAAGATCATTGACGTCTACAAGTGAGCAGTCATTAAGTTTGTCATCTGATGACTTCTGCTTCGGTAGCAGCTGTCAGGCGTATATCCTGCGTAGGTTGCTTGGCGCGGAAGCCAGATGCAAGCAAGTTTGTTGCTAGAGTTATAGCAGAAAAGAATGCTGGAAAAACCAGAGACGAGATAAGTGCAGAAGCTGGGAAGACGTGTAAGCTTGACATTGCGTCGGGCTCGCCCAACATCGGAATGTTCATGATTTTTCGTTGAAGAGATGCCTGGTGCTCTTGCAAAAGTTTTCAATAAGTGAAGTTTTGTTTATTTAGTTGCTTGGGTAGCTTCTTCGAAACATCACATGATCTTATTCAACCGCGAAACACTATGTACTTTCCAAGAGAGAAAAAATTTACTTTTATTGCGATTTCATAAGTTCGAAAGGAATTTTATTGTTTTGTTGTTCGAGGCGTTAGATAAATATTTTGCAATGAAGCTGCATCTCATTACAAGCGCAGAAAGCGAAAGTCAGTTAGTTGAATCCACCCGAGTAGGAAAAAAGATTCTTTAGACTTGCATGTGTTTTAGAGTGCATCCCGCCATATTGTAATTGCACTAACCCAATACGACCATTTATTGATTTATCAGCAGAATGTACTCTTCTCATCTCTTTGAGCTGGCTGTCTGACCTACGTCTCTCAGAGCCCATATATCGACTACCAGCAGATGGTCATTACTCTTTTTGATTGAAATAACTCTTTTTCTTGTTCTATACTTATGACTGTTTGGCACATCGGTCTTTTGGTTTTTGATCCACCACAATTCATCTTGGGGGAGGCCTCTATCATACTTGAGCAGTGATTTTCTATTTAATGATCGTTCACTGTTAGTATAATCAAGTGCGATATTTCGTCATTCGAAGTTATTTTGGTCTTTATGATGTCTAGGAAGTTCCCGCAATAGATTCCCCAACCTGTTATCCTTGATGATAGCAGAACCGAGAACACTCTCATCCTACTGCGAAGATCGTATTGTTTTTAGAAATCAGAACAAGTATTTGTTTGACAATACAAAGAACATTTTTTGAATGATCGGGACCACCTTAATAGGTAATGGTTATCAACCTTATATCTGTAATTTGATGGGCACAAAGAACGGGAAAACAGTCCTCGTCACGTCCTACTCTTTTCTTGTTTTCTAAAAATGATAAACAGTAGGCTTTCTGACTTCGTGGGTGGAGCCTCATTGACATCATTTTCTCGCTCAGATGTACCTACCTCGTATATTTCCTTATCTAACATGTTGATAATGTTCGTCTGTCATCCAGTCTATATAAACCTCTTCTGAACTGTGTTTAATCTTCATGTCTTCCTCTTATTTATTTCGCTGCATTCTAATGATATTACCTCTACCACTTTCAGAATTCACTATGTCCACTGAGAAGAGTTTCTGGTCTACTGCTAAGAGTTTTTTCAGCAGCACTACGCCTGTCGTATTCGCTCCGTCTATTAATCCAGGTGAACTTGCTCAACTATCTTATCTTATCCTTGCCCTTTAAAGACAAACGCTTTGACATGAAAAGACAATCTTTTGCTGAGAAGAAGAGAGTTCAATCTTTATCGTCAAACTCATTTTTCATCGACTCTTTTGGATCTTTAAACATGCCTTGATCCAATCAGATACACAATTGTGCCATTTACTTACGCTAGTTTCCACATTTACCTCACGGATATTCCTGGCACGTTAATTATATGGATCTCATATTTCGTAAAGTTTTAAATCTTCTGAAGTTAATACTATGTTGAAGATATTTATTTGTTCCCAAGTTGTTTTCAAAATAATAGATTCCATTATATTTGGTTGAATAAAGTTTATATTCATTTCATGAACGATGTGCATCAATTTATACGAATATTGAGCAAATTCGAATATAAAGTTAAAGGATAATACCCGACAGAACGTTTCTTACAGAATGTACACATTATAAAGTTTCACTAGTATTTACATCGTTTAAGTCGGCATCAGCCAAGACTTCCTTTAAGACCTCTAATTTGTCTTCCGTGTCTCTCAGTTCACAGATTGACTCGTCCAGTGATGTCAGAAGCTACAAGATACAAGATAGGGTGAGCAAACGAAAAACTCATGAACACACCTCTAAAGTTCGATTCGCCTCGTGTTCCATCTCGCGCAAGCTCTCCTCATGAAGATTCTTCCAATAGTTAACTGTCTCCACTTCTGACTCAAGGTCCTGAAGACAACATGCTTTCATATTCGTATTGCACTATAAACTTACTTCTTCAGTTATTTCCTTAGCAGGTTCCATAGTGGACACTTCTGTCTGAACTTCACATGAGGACAACTGCAAATGTTCCTTCAACATTATGATTTATTATGATAATATTCCTATTATACCTTAACATCAGGTGTTTGAGAACAGTTTTCCTTATTTTCCTCTCTGATCATTGGGCTTGGCAGAAAAGTCTTCTTTAGAAGGAGCTTTAAATGGTTCATACGTGATCATTTCGATAACAAGACTCACTTTACTCGGACTACGAATACTTTCCTGGCTCTTGTTTAGCTGAAACTGGCCAATAGCTGGACTGTTACCAGAGACGGTCTTCAAGCCTTGACGAATGGTAGCCATGTTAAAATCTGGAACAGTGAATGAATACACAAAAACGGAAACAGGAACAAGTACAATAACGTTTTGAACGTCTACGGAGGGTAAATTGCAGACCTGGAAAAGATTTATTATACATTCAAAGAATCTTTTTACACTATACACAAAAGAAAAATGAAAACTATAAAATAAATTAATTATTGGAATTAGTAGTTCCGTCTTCTTCAGTATTCTCATCACCCTCTAATAAGGCTGCTGCTGCTACAAAAAGTTTTTCATATTCCTCTAACTTCTCGTTTTTGAGAATAATATTCTGTTGTATTTCCTGTTGTATCTGAATGCTTGAGTTGAGAGAAGATTATGCTCCTAAACAACTTACTTGATCATTCTCCTCCCTTATTCTATTTAGCTCAGCTACTTTCATCTTTGCAGCAGTTGACCAAAATGATAGTTCGTGGTTTTGAGAGCTCTCCAAGTCGAAGGGTATACTCAATGCAGTGTTTTCACATGAATCAACTAAGTTATCTTTCTGAAAACAAAACAAGAAAGTTGAGAAATGAAATGCACCGAAACTCACGTCGGTTTGAACTTCCGCATTTCGCTTGTCAATAATATCAAACTCATCTTGTGAATCTTCAAATACAGAGAAAGTATTGGAAGCAGACGATGATTGAGAAAGTTTCCTTGCTAGATGTAGCATATCAACATAAGAAACTTTTGAACGAAGTTCTTAGACGCTAACAAAGCGTCCTTTTTGAATTTTTGGCATTCCCGCCGTTACGGTAATCGACGGTAAATTGCGTACATAAATGGTTTCTAAGAAGCCATTTCTCATTTTACTCACTAATAGTTTCCCGAAAAGTAATTCAACATTTTGTTAGAGAAATCTTTGTTATTCATTTCTGTGAATATCGAATATCCATCCTTTCTTTCTCATCTTCAAATTGCAGAATTACTTCATCTGGTTTTCATCTTAACCAATATGATTCGTAGCAGTGCTCCCTTCTTCAGCTCCCTTCGTAGCTGTGCTCCCTTCTTCAGCTCCCTTAGTGACATCAATGTACCAGATATAGCGATTGTGAGTTTCATTTTTGTAATTGGTTATCACTTCTGTTGTTATAGCTCGGATCAAAATTTGAAAGCTACGGAAAACATTTAAGTGCCGCCGTATTTCCTACACCCGCATTTCCAGCAAAAGGCGTATTGCATGAACCGAATTATAGACTTATGGTTCCCCTAGTGTTCAAACAGGAGAAAGAAGATAAAGCCCTGAATGTGTGGTGTGTAGTGGTAACAGGCGTACCATTCAACTACCTAAGTGTCAAGACACTTGAAGCATTTGTAGGTGAAGGCAATGTTGAGCAAGACAAAACTTATCGCTTTGCAGTCCAGGTTTGTATAATTCCAGAATACAAACGTAATTTTAAAAGTCGTAGGATCAGAGCAAAATCATTGAATGCCGTGTCTCCGAGGTGGGCTCACACTTCGAACATGTAAACGTCTTGGGAGCATATGGCCTGAGCGACTTAAGACTTTCTGCTCATTTCGACTGGAAGAGTAATACATTTACTCTCCAAGATTAGGATAAGCATGCGTCTACTTGACCCAAAGTTCAGTGGTCGAATTTTCACATCTTTCTTATCAATTGTATCAAATTCATCTAGAGAT